CCTGGGGAGGGAGACCTCTTTCAGGAGGCCAGTGTGATTTACGGTCAAGAAGACATCCTCTCTGAGACTAGACTGCCCCTGGGCACCTTCCCCCAGGCCTGGCCCTGCCTGGACACACCCTCACTCACCTGATCAGGCTGGCGGGGGAATCCAGGTCAGTGGCTGAGACCTGGCCCACCAGGGTCCCTGGAGCCTTGTTCTCAGACACCGCCAGGTGGTAGGCAGCCTGGGTGAAGGCGGGTGGCTCTGGGGCATCCTGCACAGCTATGCGCACTGAGGCCACATCCTTGAAGGGCCCCCGCCGCAGGTAGGCTGGGTCGATGAGCGTGTTGGTGGCCTCCACACGGAAGGAGTAGGAGCGACGAGTCTCGAAGTCTAGGGGCTATGGCAAGGGGAGATGGAGTGGCTGAGATGTGTAGAAACCAGGGCAGGCCCAGGCTCCTGGGAGGTGGAATCCTTTCCCCACAAACTTCCAGTGCTCAGCCCACCTCAGAGGAGAGGTGCACCAGAGGGGCAGTGGCCTTGGTGGTCAAGGGTGGGGGCAGATGACTTAGTAACTTTAGGTCTATCCCCAGCTCTATCACAGGTTTGATGTGTGAAGCCTTGAGCCAACCATGCCCCCTTTCTGGGTCCCAGGCCCTTGTCTGAAAGGTAAGAGGATGACCATGATCTCTAAGTGCCAACATAGGTTCCTGAGTCTGTTCTGGACCAGTTATGAGTGTGTCCTGAGGGGGTGGGGGCAGAAGGAGGGTATGAGTGAGTCTACAAGTGTCAGCAACATGAAGCTAACCTTTCGGACGGTGAGGAGCCCATCTCGCCCCTGGGCGTCTGTGCTGATGCTGAAGGCCTCGGACCCCTCCCCATCCAGGATGCTGTATGCCATGAGGGCGTTGTCACCCAGGTCTGGGTCCTGGGCCCGAAGCCGGCCCACCAGGGTGCCCGGCCCAGCTGTCTCCACCACAGAGAACTGGTACAGGCCTTGAGGGTGGGTGGAGGGGAGACATTCTTAGAGAGGTCCCCAGCTCTCTTCCTTCCCCCAGCACCTCCTTCTTCTGGGTGCTGGCTAGGAGAGGGATGAGGGGGGGTGGTCAAGGGATGGCCCAGGTAGCAGCAATGGACACTTACTCTGAGGGAACTTGGGGGGGTTGTCATTGACATCACTGAGGGTGACTGTCACTGTAGTACTGCCCGACAGCCCCCCCATGTGGCCGCCCATGTCCTTGGCCTGAATCACCACCAAGAACTCCTCCTGAGTCTCTCGGTCCATGTTGGGGATGGCAGTGCGCACAACTCCTAGGGAGAGACTCTGGGTTAGGGGGTTCCTCTTCCTGTGGCTGCCCCACCGCTCCTGAACCCTACCCTCACCAGTCTGGGGGTCCACAGAGAAGAAAGGCAGGCCATCCAGCACAGTGTACACCAGCTTGGCGCTGTTCCCATAGCTGGGATCATCAGCATCATGAGCAGTCACCTGGATTACCGATGTCCCTGTGGGGGGTCCCAGCACTCCACTCAGCAGGGGCAAGGCCGGAGGGGAAGAGTAGCAGATGAGGGGAACCCAGATGTGAGCAGGGCTGAATCAAAAGGACTGGGTTCTGGGGTAGAAAGCAATGGGGGAAGGAGAGGAGAGGGCACTCCAGGACGTGGAGGGATCTGGGCGTCCAGACTTGGGTTACTCACCAACGTTGGACATCTCGGGCACTGTAGCATGGTAAGGCCCCAGGGGAAAGATGGGGGGATTGTCGTTGATGTCTTGCACCTTGATGATGAACTCTGATGGGGGCTCCAGAGGACGGTTGGAAGCTCGGTCCACAGCTTGGGCCAGTAGCACATACTGTGCCTTCTCCTCCCGGTCCAGGCTCTTGGTGACATGGATATTGCCTGTGGCCTCATCAATCACAAACACGGTGCCTGCTCCCTCCCCAGTCAGCAGGTACTTGGTGCGGCCCTCACCCCGGTCCACATCCGAGTGCAGCTGTAAGGGTCAGGGGAAAATGATGGTGGTTCCACATAGGAACAGAAAGTTCAAGAGTCTGAATCTAGGACTGGGTGGAGCATTGGGAGTCCTGAGGGACCAAGGTCATTGCAGAAGTGATGAAGTTGCAGGGCTGGGCTACAGAGTCAGGGTAGCCATGGGAGGGCTTGATCCTTACCTTGCCAATGAGGACGGGCTCTGGACCGGCATATTCCTCAATGACAAAAAACTGGTTCCACACCCAGCTCCTTCGGGTCCGCAGCAGTGCTGGTCCTGAGCCCCCCCGGGACCATGCCCAGGCCCGGGCTGGGGCTGCCAGGCGTCCTATGCAGCCCCAGCCACCCAGCCAGGCCAGCAGGAGCCTCACTAGGCCCCACATGTTTGGGCTCTAGCTAGGGCTCTCTTCACTGCCCCTAGGTGCTGAGGCATGAGCTGGCTGGGGCAGAGGCCACACGTGCTGGGGCTACCCCATGGATCCACACCTGCAGGACAGGTAGCTCTTCAGGGTCAGGGAACCCTAACCTTCCACCCCACCGGAGGTAGATGCTGAAGAGCCAACCTCTAAGGAACCAGACTCCCAATGCCCAGAACGCAGTCGAAGACAGAGCAGACAGTCTGATCCTTTCCTCTTCCCAGGCTCTGCCTGTATTCACATCCAGCCCTCCAAGCTGATAAGTCTCCAGCCAGTCAACTCTGAGTAGAGAAGCTAGGGAAGAAAACAGGACAGGGGATGCTGGGAGGGCCTGGAGCCCCATGTGGCCCATGTCCTCTCAGGTGGGGCATGCAGCAGGGGGCTGGGGGAGGTAGCGGCTACCAGAAAAGGCTTACAACCTAGAGGTTGGGATTCATGGAGTTGTCTAGGGTCAGGCTGAGATAACAAGAAGTGCAACCTAAGACAGGCTTGAGAGCCTGTGAAAAGTCCCTCCTCCCCAGAAACCTGCCCCCAGCCCACACTGCCATCTGAAGTCCTTCAAGAGGAACTGGGCTCATGAGGCTGAGTGGGGGGTCAGAGCTGAAAGAAGAGCTGGTGGAGTTGGGGGTAGGACCAGGAGACTGGGGAGGGGGAAGAGGCAGACTCAAGCTAGACACAGTGTGACTGAGGGAGAAACTGAGGCTCATGGACTGGCCAGCAGGGACAGAGACAGAATGGCTGAGAGAGACTGAAAGAGAGATCAAAGGAAGCTGCCTGGTCTCTGAAAGGCAGACAGGAGCCACTGGTACTAGTCTGGGGAATGTGAAGGAGGGGGAAGAGGGGCCTCTTGTGTGATGAGCCGGCAGGGCAGCCCTCAGCTCTGGGCATCAGACCAGGCCGCCAAAACTTCATTCCGGGAGAGGGGCTGGTTCGGAGGGGCCGCAGGAAGGGAGGTAGACAGAGTACCCTTCCCACTGCTCTTTCCTCCCTCTCCTCCCAGGATGAGGGAACCCTCGCAGGTGTCTGTGGCTGTGCCCCTGCTCCCTCAAAGCAGACACACACCTGACAGTCCTTTCCCTCCCGAGGGAAGAGGGAAGACTGACCGAAGCTGGGGACCAGAGTGGGAGGCGGGACGAGAAGGAAAGGGATAGGGGAGTGGAAAACAGGAGAGCGAGGAGGGAAGACAAGAGGACAGGAGAGGGAAGGAACAGGGAACGCAAAGGAGGGCAGGAAAAGAAAAAGAGGAAGAACAGGAAAGGAGAGAAAGGTAGAGGAAGAAAAAGGCAAAGAGGAAGTGGAGATGGGGAAAGACAGGGCAAGGGACAGAGAGAAGGCTTGGGGAGACAGAGGGAAGGGGCAGAGACGGCAAACAGGCTGAGAGAAGGCAGGGTGAAGACATCGAGGGAGAGGAAAATGGGAAAGGGGGGGGGGAGCGAGGGAAGAAGGGAAAGAGGTAGAGCGCGGGAGAAGGGAGAAAGGAGCCGGCAGTGGGCTCCCAGCCGAGGAGCGCACTGCTCTGAAGACACCCGCAGGCTGCGGGCCCCCTGCCTGCCCCTCCACGGACCCCCAACCCGGACTCCAGAACAGGCCCTTACCTGGCAGTGCCAAGGGGCCCAGCCCGGCGAAGAGCACCCCCGTCCGCCCCTGTCGCCGGGTCCCGGGGGCACAGCCCCGACGCGATAGGAGCGGGCGCCGCGGCTCCGCTGCAGGTCTGAGCGGCCCGGCGAGAACAAGGGAGCGAGACGGAGGGGGCGGGGGAAGGAGGCTCCGCCTGCGGAGGAGCGAGGCGGCTCCACGCCGCGCGCGGGAGAGCCCAGCCTCCGACCCTCCCCGGCCAGCCCGGGCTGAGCGGAGGGGGCAGCGGGGGCTGGGGGGGGTGGTGATGCTGCCCGCCGCCAGGCGCATACAGATGTACCACCCTTCCTGGGCCAGGCCCGCAGCACCCGGCGGGGCACTTGGGCAAGAGGAGGTCCAGGTCAGTCCCCAGAGCTGGTGGGGAGGATGCCCGCCCCCCCCAGCCGCCCCCCCCAGCAGGTCGAAGGGCGAGCGCGGGGCGAGGTGGAGGAATTTGGAGCCACTGCAGAGACCAGCTGGCGCTCGCAGACCAGCCTCGGGGGCTTGTACGGACCCCGGGTGCAGGGTGGCAGCATTTGGGGAGCCTTTGCAGGGCACTGGAGTGGGCCGGCTGTGGTACGCTTCAGGACTTCATAAGGGTTTAAGAGCCCGTGGGTTGGGCCTAGGAACAGGTCAGAGACCAAGGCACGACACCACACGACAGACAGTGGACTGAGATAGGGAGTGGAGCCTTTTAGGGAAGCTCATTTATAGACGCCTACCGAGCAAGCGGCTGACGCCCCCTCGTGGCAGTTGTGGGAGGCACCTTGAAGGTGAAAAGCAGGTGACCAAATACCCCTAACTGGGATTCACTTATCTCTTCCCTCCTACCCACCAGCGAGGTAGCCCTACAGCTGTGGAGTGGGTAGACCCAAGGCAGGAAAGGAGGGAGTTACTCCGATTCCGGGATGCAGCAGCCTGCACAAGAAACGCTGGTTCCAGCCATCTTCTTCAATTTGGCTCTCTCACCCAGGCCCTGCCCAATGAAAGTCACTCACACAGTTAAAACTAAGTCAGATTTTTATTATTTTCCATAGACCACATCATTTAATAATAAAAAAAAATAAAAATAAAAATTGAACAAAAGGAAAAGGTGGATATAAAGTGGAACCGGTGGGCAGGAGGGAAAGGCTGCAGGACAGAAAGAGACTGGGAACTGCAGGGGCCCTGGGACTCAGGAGAGGCTGATTCAGCTCATAGGTAACCCAGTCCTGGCCCCAGCCGTTCCCAAGAGGTGTGAGTACCCACAGGAGGTGGTGAGCAATATGGAGGAAAAAATGAAAGAGGTGGGGGTCCTGGCTGTTCCCCACCTCTAGGCCAACCACCTCTCTAACCTAGCTCTTCCCTCTCACAGACCTCATGGGAAATGTGAGAAAGGACAGGGCTAAATCCCAAGAGATTGGTTATGGGGCGTATGGGAGAAAGATGGCCGCTGCTCCGTTTGGTATGTGGGGACAGGTGGCAGCCATACTTCAGCACTGGGCAAATGGTGTGAAAGACCCCTGGTTCCAAGATGGTGGAGATTGTACCTATCCCTCTGTGGCCTTGCGCCCCCACCCAGGAGCAGGGTGGCTGATACCTGCAGTTCTCCCCAGTGTTTTCCCAGCTAGCGGCGCCCACCCCGGTCCCGCACAGGTGTGCTCCGACTCCGGCTCCTGCTGTGGCGCTTGTTGTCTCTGCGGTCCCTCTCCCTGCCTCGTTCCCGGTCCCGTTCCCTATCCCGGTCTCGATCCCCCCTGTCACGCTCGCGTTCCCTCTCTCTCTCGCGGTCCCTCTCTCGGCTGTGCTCTCGCCGCTTCTCTCGCTCCAGCTGTCGGTTCCGCTCTCGCTCTGCTTCTTTCTCTCGCTCCTTTTGCTCTTCTTCTTCTTGCTCCTTTCGTCGTTTCTCCCGCTCCTTGGCCCGTTCAGCTCGCTCTGCCTCCTTCTGAACAATCTGTAGCCAGCAGAAAAGGCAGAGAATAGGCATCTCAGCCCAGCTCACATCAGCCCCACTCTATTTGCACCTCTACCCAGTACTCCTAGCTCAGGATAACTGCTGGCTTTGCTGTTAAGCGGGGGTGGGGGGGGTGGGGTGGGGTGTGTGTGTGTGTGTGTGTGTGTGTGTGTGTGTGTGTGTGTGTAGGGTGGTTGGGGCAGGGGGGCGGGGGGGGGGTGGGAGAAGAGGAGCAATAAGATCTGTCCTTGTTTCAGAGCCCCAGCTCCTCTAAGTGTTCGCCTTTTATACCCACAACAGGTACTGGCACCATTCATGCGGGCCGCCGATATTTCCCTAGCTGTCTACATGTGAACAAATCTCTACTTGAGTAGCATAAGCTTAAAATTCCCAAAAGGCCTGTTACAAAGAAACAAATTTAAAAAGCAAAAAACACTAAGTATTAAAAAAAAAAAATGGGTAAGTTTATAAAACAGGAGATTTCTCTACCTAAAATTAATTTCTAAGAATGATTGGCACAGCCACTTTCCTAGGCCAGGCAAACACATTTCTTGTCTTTGTGTCTACCTTCACACTCTTAGGTTTGGCTTCTCTAGGCAGACTCATTAACTTTTCTTTGATGCCTCGTTTTTTTCTGTATTGCCCTAAGCTGTTCCCTGGGACTCTTCCCTCGGACACTCTTATGACTCTCCCCAGTGTCCCCAGCCTTGCCGCAGCTCTTGAGAAGGACAGGAAGGCCAGCGCTCACCTGGCTGTCAGTCAGCGGGAGCCAGTAGATGCAGGGAGCTGCTTTGGTCTTGCGGAAAAGGTCATCCAGGAGCTTGGCTGGTGGTTCCTCCTGAGTTTTCTCTGAGGTGGAAGAAAGTGAGTCAGACTTGATGCACAGGACCCTATGTCCCATCCCATTTTGTTCCCTTTCCCACGTACCAGTGAATACATGTGTCCCCACAGCTAAGTACCTTTCTTTTCACTCTTCTTTTCTTTAGACTTTGCACGTTCCTTGCGGCGGCGGTCACGGGACCGTGATCTGGAACGGGGCCCTTCTCGAACTTTGTCCCGATCCCATTCACGCTCTGATCGAGTTCGCTCCCGCCGCTCCATTTCCCGTTCCCGCTCTGCCCACTGTTCCCGCACTGCCCGCTCTTGCTCCCGCTGCTCTGCCCGGGGGTGCTGTGGTGGCTGGGCTGGGGGCGGGGGTGGAGGGTGCAGGGGCCGTGGTACCCCCTGCTCCTCTGTCTTAGTTTCAGAGGGACGGTCCACCAAGAGGCCCCGATGATAGTCCAGCTGTGGGTAGAGGAAGGACAAGGATACTCAGGATGGAGACATCGCCCCCACAGAAGGAGCCCAGGTACCAATGGACAGAGACTTTGAAGCCCTACGGTTCAACTAAAGGAAACAAAGAGGAAGGAGAGAAGGAATCTTGGGAGAGGATGGCCTCTCTGCCTCTCCCTAAGTTTCTTACCTCATCTTGCTCAGCATAGTCGGCACAAAGGAATTTGGGATTGGACTGAGGCCATTTGACCCCATGTAGAGCTGTGCGGGTGGCAACTGCTTCCTCTATTGTTGAGTACTGGTGGAGGAAGGGAGAAGGCAGAGCAGTCACAATAGGCCTTTAATCTCTCCCACTTGCCACAACACCCTCAAACCTGGCCATGTTGGTCACAAAAGGGAACATGCCAGAACCTAGAGCTTTTGCCCCTCACCGTTACAAAGCAATGAGATTTGATCTTGTCAATCCAGAAGGCCTCTTCCACCAGAGTTCCTGTACGTCCCAACAATTCCTTCAATTGGCCTAAAGTGAAGGGACGAACCTGTACATGGAAATGGAAGAACCACACTCATATAACTATGAAGATTTCCCAAGCTGCTGTCATAGGAGTACAGCTCCAAACTATGGATGGAGGCAGAGTCAGAACCCTCTAGTAGGAATGTGAGAAGAGTGGCAACACTTGTTAAGGCGTTACGTACCAGGCCCTCTATAAATTCTCAAGAAAACCCTGCAACGTGATACTTTTTTCTCCCCATTTTCCAGATGAGACAGGTTAAGAAATTAAGTCAATTCACTCAGAGTCGATGTCTCCTTAGGAGTTGAACCTAAGAATCATGAATCCAAAGCTCAAACTCAACAGGGCTGCACTGTGGGAAACAATGACTTACCAAATTGGAGATGTGCACGATGTTACTGATCTTGCCCCGGGGCGGGGAGGGCACCTGAGCAGTTCTGACTGGATCATCAATTGTAATGGAAACTCCAGACTTCTGCTGGCTAATGGAACGTCTTGTTAAAGTATCTCCTAAAGTCACTATCAAATAGAGCACACAAATGGTTTTCAGTAGGGAGCAACATATCTAACTTTCTTTTACGTTGCTCCCTCCCTACCCTTCCATCTAAATATGCTAAGCACATATAATGTGCCAGGTATTGTCTAGGCTAACCTCATTATGGGTACTCAAAGATTTAAAGAGTCAAACAGCCCTCAAGTTCAATAGCTTAACAAGTAGGAGAGGCAGAGATAACAGATATGTAAGATACTATAATAAAAGGCAGGAAAACATTAAAAGAAGTCCAATGAAGTGCTCTGGGAATTCAGGGAACTACACTGTTTCAATCATTAATGGCTCACCCACCTTTCTTTACTTCATGCTCCACAGGGGGAGGCAAGGCCACCTCTACTGAAACCTGGGGAGGTATAGGGGGTTCTGCTTCAGGCTCTTTTTCTTCTTCCTCTTCTTCCCTCTGCCCATTCTCCTGGCCCTCTGCAGGTACTACCTGTGAAGTATCAGATATGGAAGAATTCTTAAACACTGGCACATTCTTTTCAGCTTCTGGTTTCCTGGTAAGAGAGAGTGGTACAGTCAACCTATCATGTGCCTTCCACTGGGGGAAGATTTATTTCATCATTAAGTTCACCTCCACCAGAATCCTGGGACTGTTAATGCCTCAGCTCTTCCACGAGGAAAACTAAGGCAGGAAGGAGTCTTGTAGATTTGTTCTGTACAGGATAAGAGTAAATAATTTTAGGCTTTGTGAGCCATACAGTTTTTGGTTGCAAACATTCAACTCTGACTTTATAGAACAGAGATGCCACAGACAAGAGTACATGAACTGGCATTACTGTGTTCTCATAAAACTTTATTACAGGCAACAGGTTGGATTTGGTAGCCCACCGATCCCTAAAAGGACCAATTAATCCAACCCTCTGCAGAGACGGGAGACTTCCCCTTTAAGACTCTATCACAGCTCTTCAATTGCCTGCTCTGCCTCTACTGACCATGCCTCCCAACACAGGGGTGAAGGAGCCTTACCTGAGTGACTGTCCGGCATATTTTCAGCCCTTTGTCATGAGTCCCATCGTCACCATTACGCTCTGTCTCATCCTCAGAGATTCGAGAGTCATCAGCATGAAGATCCACAACAGCCTCCTGCCCCACCAGGGGTTTGATGTCGGGGATGAGGCTCTGGGACACAGATACCCCCCCACCCCGTTACACTGGGCCCATGTCTACTCCCACCTTAACGTGTCTCATCCTCCCTTCCCTGGCTTCTCCCACCTCACCTTGAGTGATTCGGTGGTGATACTGATGGAGGGTTTCTTCTGTGTGGTGGCTGTGCTGGCTCCCCAACGCCGCTTCCGACCAGGCTGGCCCCCCTCTGTGTCACTGTTTCCAGCTGGCACCCCCTTGGTAGCTGCTGTCCCCAAGAAATAGGACCCAACACTTAAGATGGTCTCAGGCCCTCTGCTGGTTCACACTACAACACCCACAGATAGCCTTTGATTGGAATTTTACTAAAAGGTTAACTTGCAATTATATTTGGGAACTGGGAAACCATGCTTAAAAATAAAAGGACTGGAACCACTTTCTGACAGATGAAAACTCATCTCTGAAGGCAACAGGGTTGGCTGACCAGTTTAAACTTTTAGTGGTAAAAATGTGTAAGGTACCGGGGAAGAAAGATTAAGGATATGAGAATGCAGGGGGCGGGGAGGGGAAGAATATGATATTAAAATCTAAGTTAATTTAGATCATGATGTAAACTGATCATGCTTTAGGTAAATTTTCACACTACATATTGGTATTTATATTACAAAGATCTATTATACTTTTGTCAATTTAGAGAGCCTCATTGAAAAAATGTTTAAAATGTGATTGTTTGAGCCCTGGCCATGCTGCTCAGTTGGTCGGAGCATCATCCCATACACCAAAAGGTTGCACGTTCGATCACTGATCAGGGCATGTGTGGGAGGCAACAGATTGATGTTTCTCTCTCCCCCGCTTCCTCTCTAAAATCAACAAATATATCATTAGGTGAGGATTAAAAAATTATAAAAAACAAAAAGTTAACTATTTGAAGTGTGGAGCACTTTCATCTCCTCAGATGCTCTCTTAGAATAAAGTATAAACTGGTAAACATTACAGAAGAGTCCCTCAAACCCACTCCTGGTCTTGAGGATTCATATATCTAAAAGAATGTATTTAGGACTACATAAGAAATGGTGAGTCACCTCACAATCTCACTAGAGTTAGCAAAGAAATGTGACTGGGGGAAAAAATGACAGGGATTGTCTAATGCTTTGAATTAAAAACAACAACAACAACAAAACAGATTTGATGGGTGGAGGTGATGGGGAAGGAGGGGTGACCCAAGAATGCCACTGAGAGAAAACGGGAATCTATTTCTCTATGAATTTTGATTTTTATGGTATTCTTGGCCTTTATTAGGGATTGGGATTAGACTTACAGACAACGGAGATCTTCCTCTTGAATGATTTGGGCAGCGAACTCTGTATAGAGAACAAGAGGGGGAAAAAGAGAAAGAGACACACCCCACAGAGAGGGGGGAAGGAGGTTAGATGAGGCAGTCTTAGCTTAAGCTCCAAAGACACACAGAAAGAGAGGGACAGAGACAGACAGAGACCAAAACAGAAGCGGCAAACGGCAAAAACGAAGCAGAATCAATGCAAGTTAGAGAAAAAAAATAAATAAAACCAAACATCAGAGCAGGGAAAAGTCATCTAGTTCATATACCACAACTATGTTTTAGCTTAACCAGAAATAAGCTGGAAGAGGAATTCAGTAGCCTCCCAGCCCTTCAAAAGCACCAGTCATGACCCCTTCCACTGTCTCTATGGGGTGAGAGAATGCCAAGCTCAAGGTATGCCCAGAACTGAGTCACCTGGCCTCCTAGGTCTTCCTTGCTAATTTGAAGAAAACATGAGGAAATTAAGAAAACCACCCTGGGATGGCAACTTTAACAAGATAATTATCTTCCTTTTCTCAATGTCCAGCCTGACATCTAGTCACAGTGGCTTTGAGTCATTAAGACAGCTGACTGTCAAGATTGTCTAGACTCCCATCACACTGTGGAAAAGGACAGCCAATGCAGATGAGGTCCCTGAGCAAAGTGCCCCCAGAAAGAATTTAAAGGTGTCTTCAGTAAAGGAAGACTTTTATGAAAGACTGTCCCCAAGGAGAGTCTGAAACCTTCCAATCACTGTATGGAGCTCTATTAAAACCTTCCGGTTTCCTCCCCACCCAGAGCTTAAGCCTTAGGGGCTCTTGCAAGGACTAGAAACTTCCAAACTTGCTTTTCAAGCAAGCTTCTGTTCCAAACACTGAAGAGGAAAAAGACTATGGACAAAGCAAAAAGAGGAAGAGGAGAAAAGGGGAATGCTTATTTCTGGAAAAACTAAGAACCATGACCCTTATTAGGGGCAGGGCAGTACCCTCTTGATGAAACCCCCTTTCCCCATCACCCCCAGCCCCATTTGTGTCATCTAACCAAGTCTCCTTGGTCTCTGTTAAGGGCCAGCCTGACCCCTAGCCAGACCGCTCTTGATGGGTGAGTTAGTGGAAAAAAAAGTCTTAATTAGAACAGGAAAAACATGAACCAAATAAATAAATCCAATAAAGAAATCAGAAAAATAAAGATAAAGAAAAAAATAATAAAATAAAAAGATTAAAAAAAAGAAAGAAGAAAATAGAGGAAAATAAACTAGGAATATGACAAATGTTCCAGGTACCATCTCACACCTGGGATCTTCAGTTCAGCCAATCGCACCTCACTGTGTACTGTATCTAGTCAACCGCCGGTCCAATCAGAATGAGCCCTCCCTGCTAGGCGCTGTGCAATTGGTGGGGGGTTGGGTTGGCAAAAATGTGGGCGCACGGCGTGGTAGTCAGCACGGCACTGCCAGAGTCCTCCCAGGGGCGCAGGGGGGGCGGGAGGGAAACGTGTGGGGGGACGCTGCCCAGTTTCCATGATGTCAAGACAGTTCACTGGTGGTGGTCAGGCTCAGCGAGGGGTACACAGAGGGGAAAAGGGGCAGAGACATCAGTCCCGGCCCTGTAGGGGCATCATCTTGCAGTCCCTGATGAGATGGCCTGTGAGTAGCAGAAATGGTCCTGGCCTTTTATCGTGAGAGGCAGGCAGGACCCTATGTCCACCAGTGGCAAGTTGCAGCAATACCACCACCCAATACTTGGAATTCAGGTGATGACTCCAGAGTCCCCTTCTCCCCTGCCTGTAACTGGGGAGGGGGGTCCTCTCACCGAGTGGGATCATGGAACCTCTGATGAAGGCAGAAGGCAGCCTGGGGGTAGAAGGTGGATAGCCCCAGGACACATTCAGCAGCAAGGTCAGAATGCTTTTCTTCTGAGAGTTGTATGTGGCATCTCCTCAGGGACTCCAGCTGTGACAGTGGTTCCAGTCAGGTGGATGAATGAGCCCCTGCCTCCAGGGATGGAGGAGAAGTTGGAGCAACCAACATGGTGCCCTTCACCATGGATAACAGGGACCAAAGGAAAGTCCATCTGATGAGCAAGTGGTGATACATGGCTGGGCTGTCATCAGCATTAAATCCCTGGGCTCAGACCCTAGACTTCTCTGCAGGGTTCCTAGTCGTCACTGCTTAAGCGGAGAGCCCCATTCGGTATTTTACAGCATGGCACTGTGATCACAAACATTTGACTCTTTAGGAGGTCTTGGTGCCCTAGAAGGGGATCCCAACAGTCTGTAGCAAACAAGATAACCCACAGTCCTCAAAAGGGTAAGGGCATGTGGGCAGACGCCCCAGCACTGACACAAGCTCTTCTTGGGGTGTCCCAAATAGGGAGATGGTGCAAGTCCACCCCTTTCCAAATGCTTTTTGCTTTCTCAATACAAGTCTCTCCAGAACAGTGCTCTTCTTGGCCCCCTGATGTAAGCAAGGCAGGGAGGCAAAAGGGGGCCCATCACAGGATCCCATATACATGCCCCCCTCTGGCCAAGACGCCTGGATAGCAGACTCGGCTCTGATTGGGCAGCTCAGTAGCAGCGGGTGGGTCCAGAGGAAGAGGCGGCATCAGCGATTGGCCAGTTGGGCAGGGTTATATTTTACGGGCGGATTACCGTACATGAGGTACTTGGACAAAGTTTTAAGAAGGACCTTGTAATAAATAATATTCTGCACATCAAATCACTTTCACCGGCCCCCACCCCCGCAACACACATCAAAGAAAGGCTACACACACAACAGTCCCTCCCACCCTGTTACCCCACTCCCAACCCAGCTAATGCTTTTTCTATTAAGAGCCAAGTAGACTTCGCTGGCTCTGATGGGGGAGGCCCCTGAATTGGGTGCAGAACACTAGATAATATATATGCCAAAAAAGTAGATAGAGGGGTCACAGAAATGGAATCGGGGTTTTGGGATCACCCTAGGTGAATTCTAAGTAGCTACATCTCTGTAATGAGACCACTGGGGGGCAGATGCCAAACAAAAATTCCACAGCATGGCTGGTCAGCTGAAAACCACCAAAGCCCACTAGATGGCGTTTAGCTACAACAAGCTTTTAAAAAGGAGGGAAAGCTAAAGCAGTTGCGTGGGGGCGGGGGGGGGGGGCACACGACTGGAGGTAGTGGCAGGGAAAGCTGAATGGGTCTTAAAGGGTCATTAACTGTTTTCCTGTTACAAACTTCCAGAGTCTGGACTGCACTACTTCCCCATTAAGGAAAGGGGTAAGAATGAGCGCTGTCCCCCATCATCACAAAGGGTCTCCCTTGCTAAACCAGCGAATTCTCCCATGGCCCTATCCTGATGGGAGTCTCTGCCTATCCCCTTCTTTAGCTATCCAACTGTGGATGAGGGATCATCAGACTGGTCCACTCGTTCCCCTAGCTCCACTGCTGCCTGCCCACCCACCCCAACGAGTAGTTTGAAGATTTACCTCTTTCTTCTCCTCATCTTCAGCACTGCCCTCTGGGCGGTCATCATTGCTGATTTGGTCTGCAATAGGCATGGGGGGCTCTGGCACCTCATTTTCAGGTCTGTTTTCACTTGTGTCCATGGTCACTTCCTCCTTCTCCTCACTGACAGTATGGGGAGAGGTGGGAGGGAAGGGCAGGAAAAAAACCAAGGAGAAAAAAAAGAGAACAAAATGTTAGGTTTTTGGGTCAGGAAACCCCCAGGCCTCATCACTTAAGTGGGTTTGGAGAGTTACTTTTCACATCAGACTAGAGATCTTTTCCCTTCAGGAAAGTGGGAAACTGTTTTTTCCTTGGGGAACTACAAGATCAAGGCAACCATATCCACCCACAGCCCAGATGGGATAAAGCTGTGATTTGTTGGCTCAGGGCTCCATTTGTTCTTAGGTAATTAACCAAAGTACTCTTACATGAAAACCAACAGCCCCTCCACCCAAAACAGCCCTCAAAAGTGACTGTGATTTGCCCACAAACTCTGGCCTCTCTGTCCCCTGGCCACAGACACCTTTATTTAACAAAATTGCATGACAAACTAAGAGAAATCTGATTCTTTAAAAAGACAAGAAAAAATGACCATGGCCATGGTGAATGATCCCAGACTTATGTTTAATCAACTGCTTAATAAGGCCTACTGACCCATAGGATCTGGAGACACCAGAAGGGAGATGGTAGGGTGGAGGCAACAGGGAAAGTAGGGCTGGTGAAGGTTCAAGCTTCAACAAGCACCTTCTCATCTAAAAGGAGAAACTAAAACTGCTGGAGAAAGTATGAAAGCTCAGAGAAGAAATCAGGCCACTTTTACCTGCTCAGAGGTGTAGGAATTGTTCTTATATTCTGCTTTCGCCCATTCCCTCACTCCAACTTCCAAAAGATAAAGAGAGCAGGCCTCCCAGTCAGGATACACCCTCCCCCAACCATGCATTCTGCCCCCACAAACACTGAACCCACTCCACCCACTCTCCAATCTCACAAGTTATCTCTCATTTCAGGCAACGAATCCCACAGATACACTTCAGATAAACTATTTTCCTCTCTTATTTTTCTGTCTTCATCTCTAACTTCTACCTCTAATCTCGCCCCCACTCCCACCCTAACACTAGGGTTAAGAAAAATTTTTTTCAAATCGAGACGATCAGGGCCTAAATCTCAGAAGGGAAACCAAACCTCCCCAGGTTGATAGCCACCACCAGGAAATTCAGCATTGCCGACAGGCGAACTGACACTCAGAGGTCAGAACAGCTTCCCCAGAGCAGGCAGGGATGCACAGGAAGGGGGGGGGGGAGGGGAAAGTCGGAACTGTGCCCCCAGCTAACAGGCCCCCACAGAAACACAAGATTCAACCCTCTAAATCTTAAAAAGGCTTATCAACCTATTTCCTACAGAGAGAGGGCAAGTGGGGCCAATTAGAAATCAGGCAGGAAGGACAAAGGGGGAAAGCAGAATGACTGAAAACAAACCGAAATGAAAAACAGAATGAAACCCATGGATGGAGTAGAGAGGAAGATGAGGTGGGCTAGAGTGGTAGGGAAAGGGGATACATGGAAATGTGAAGCTCTCACCCTTCTTTGCTTTCTGATATCATGATTTTTTTTCTCCCCCTGGAAGTGCTGTTTATCCCTTTCTGGAATGGAAGAAATAACAAAAACCAAACAAAAAATCCTAAAAAATTAAACAAAACAAAACAAAACACCTTCCTTGTCCCAAGATCCCACCACCTCCTCCCCAGCCACCCAATCCAGAGAGAGAAAATTGAGATGGAACAACTGGGGATCCAAAAAAATGGTAAATGGAAGGGGAGGTGGTGGTGGTGAGGGGAGACTAAAATAGATCTGGCTTTTAAGAGATAAGCGTTAAGTCCTCACGGCAAACCCCGAGTTCGGCTGGATTGGTCTCTCTGGAGGAGGAGGAAGGAGAGGGCCAGGCTGCTGGTAGTGGCTGGCTCTATTGTATTAGCGGAGCAGCGGCGATCAGCCGGAGACATGCAGGGGAGCCATCTTGCCACTTACCCAGCAGTCTGTGTGTGCGGATGGGGGAGGGCCCTGCTGCAGCAGGGGAGGGGAAAGAAAAGAGGGAGGGCCCTGAGTGAGCAAGGTTCTTAGCCTCTAGCAGGCCACAGGCAGCTCACTGCTGGCTCAGTAGGTATGGCCTTTTTCCTTCTTTTCTCAGGTTACAACAGCTAAGGCCTAACCCCGCAGGGAGAGGGTGCTCTCTCCTCATCTTCCCAGAGGGCGGGGAGGGGGCCGGGTAGAGAGGACATACAAAGTTACAGTTGCTTGCTTGGAAGATTCCAGAGAATAGAGGTAAGGAAAACAGCAGAGCTGGGAGTGAAAAACAACTAAAGAGGGCAGATAACAAAGTCAGAATTGAGAGACAGAATGGAGAGTCTTAGGCCAGTTTTTATGCCCACCTCCCTCTCCCCAAGAGACCAGGCATTAAACCTTGAAACCAGATCAGCCAATCAGCTGGTCAAGGTGGGATGAGAATTGGCAGTATCCAATCACTACATAACGGGCTGCTCATCCCTACCATTGACCACGTGTTTCTACTCTAACTTGTCCTTTTTGCCAGGGATGTTGAAAGAAGTGGATAAGCAGAGACCCTTTTTGAATTACTAGTGGGGGAGAAGGTGGGGGAGAGGTGTCTCTGAAGAGATGACAGACAACTTTGTTTCAGAGTCTTTAATAAGGTCACCCTGCCCCAGAGTCCATTGGAGCCACAAAAAAAGAAAGATAAACAGGGCAAGGGGACCTTGGGCAGCTGAAGCACAAAGGCAATTCTTGGAGTGAGGGCTCCAAGGTGAAGGCTCTGAAGTAGCTGAGAAACTGAAATGAGAGAGAGCTGTTATATGAGGTGGGGGCTACCTGTTGGGCAGAAAGTGATTAAATAGAAATTAATTATGGGCATCTTCATTAGCATAAATGTGAAATGGAAAGTTGACTCTAACCATTCATAAAGCTCAGTAGATGCTCAAAATGCTCACTGGTGGACTCCAAAGGTGCTCCTTTTGTATCCTAATGGCAGTAGAGGTTTAACATTAAGACAAGCTTCTGGGCTTAACCAAAAACTTTTTATTTATTGGCCCTGGCTGGCATAGCTCAGTGGATTGAGAGCAGGCTGCGAACCAAAGTGTCGCAGGTTCAATTCCCAGTCAGGGCACATGCCTGGGTTGCAGGCCATGACCCCCAGCAACCACACATTGATGTTTCTCTCTGTCTCTTTCTCCCTCCCTTCCCCTCTAAAAATAAATAAATAAAATATTAAAAAAAACTTATTATTTATCTCATTTGTAATACCAGAGCTTATAACCAGGAATAAAATTTTCTCTCTGCCGCTTAAAGTCTTAAACTGTGTGCCAAATGCATGCTAAAAAGGTCATGCAGTTTATTTTATATATTACTGTAAAAGTTCCCTTTCTCCTCAGTAAGACAGAGCTTTGGAGTCAAATTGGCGAGGGCCCAATCCTGGCCTCAGTCCCACCCTCACACAAGATGTGTGAGACTGGGCAAGTTCCTAACCCTCTCTGTGCTTCTTAATTGTAAAGTGGTGATAACAACAATACCTAACTCATGGAACAATGTGATAAACGTTCACTCTTAAAAGTCTGGCTTGAATGACACTCACAGTCAAGGTAAGGATATGCATAAACACCTGTCCTATTAGGCTATTATCTCACTGGATGCCACCTATGGAACTTTTGGCTCCCTCAAAGAGTAGGATGCTCTCTGATATGAAGACTTTCAGTAAGTTGCCTGACAGGCTTTCAGCAATGCCCCTATCATTCTATTAACAATCTATGGTTTACTTGCCCCTCATCTTCATCCTACAGAACTCCTGAGGGTTAGAGACTGTATTCCTTGGCCCCAAGGCCTAACACAGAGAAATGCTCAGTGACTATTTCTGAATTTGGTCGTCATTTTGGGTACAAAGTGGACACTTTAATACGTGCTTGCTAAAAGTTTTCATCTCAAATAATTTTTTTGGCTGGAATTCCCATAGAAAATGTTACCTTTACATATCCAAATAAATGTTCCCTGTCCATGAACTGTCCTAAAATGCTTTCAGCTGCCAATATGCCTCTCCAGAAGTAGTTTCCTTGGAGAAAAACATTTTCTTTTACTGGAAATTGTACTTCACTTTTTTTAAGAGTAAGAATTTTACCATGTTATCCTTGGCCTTAAGACACAGCAAGTTTGTGCTATTTCCCCATGATCAATTCTGTGGGATCCAAAAATTCCCAAGGCTTTATTTTCATAAGAAAAAGAAGAATCCTTAAAATTGCCGCAAAAGGGGATTCAACCTACTTGCAGGACTAGTCCTGAAGCCTTGTTAACTACGTCAGAGCCCCACGCAGCTTCTCCTTGTAGTCTCTAAAAAGACAAAAGGAATCTCCCTTCCCACTTATTTAAGTTCTTACACAAATGTTTCTGATATCTCTGAAATACATGTGAAGTTGAGTGGGGGTTAGGGGGTGGGAATAGCACATAAAGCATTTGTAACCCAGAATAAAAGGATAGAACTACTTGGGGGCTAATAACATCACATTACAGTTCATAAGTGAATATGAATGAGATTCAGATAGGCTAATGGAAAATGAAATTTTTCAGGCACGTATGTTTGAATTTTAGTTTTTGTAGAAAACTCATGAGAGGTGAGGACCTGATGTGAAAGTCAGTAAGAAATAGTGGAAGTTAACCATCCCAGGCAGTGAGATTTAAATATAGAATATCCTCAGGAGCATACTAGTTCCATGACAACTAAGGACAGTAGGACTTGGTGGATTATGTCCTTAGATACCAATTTCTCAGTGAGCAAACTCTAATGATTACAGTAAACTTTACTTTTTTATTATGCATCATTTGGCATATTGGCCCTGCAGGTCCTGTGGGGAGTATCAATTACACCATCATATTGGCTTAAAGGACCCATATCCTTTCTCCAACTCAGGCAAAAAGATAAAATATACATAGTACCAAGAGCCCTAAATTGCTATTTCAAGGTTTGTATACACAGGAAGGTTGTCTTTAGAAAAATTCAGGTGTGAATTAACTACTGCTAGATGATACAATTGCCCACATAAAGTTTCCCCTGCCTTTCCTATTTTTTTAAAATGTAGAAACAGAATACCAGTACTTTCTGCTGCATGAGGACATTTTTGTTATATTCAAATCAAGTGTCAGACTATATTTTGGGCCCTGGCTGGTGTGGTTCAGTGGATTGAGTGCTGGCCTGTGAACCGAAGTGTCACCAGTTTAATTCCCTGTCAGGGAATGTCGGTTGCAGGCCAGGTCCCTGCTTGGGTGTGTGCAAGAGGCCAGCGATCCATGCATCTCTCGCACACTGCTGTTTCTCTTTCTCTCTCTCTCTCTCTCTCTCTCTCCCCCTCCGTTCCTCTCTCTCTAATAAATGAAGTAAATAAAATCTTTTAAAAAAAGATTGTATTTTTGAATAGAGATCAGCTGAAATAGAACTGAGGGCTCACAAATTAATGCTCCAAACAATGAAAAAGATACTTTACCTCATAAATCTAAAACTCCTCAGGGAACAATCAGAATCAGGATGGATTTAACCACCCACAATGAAAAAGTTAGGAAATCTCTTCCAAGTGATGAGAGGTCTTTGAAGTAAAAAATCTAATTTTTTTAACACTTTACTGAATCAACAGGCCTTAGGCCCTGTTTTTATTAAAGTCATGTGACTTCTTATTGAGACAGACAGTAAAACCAAGGTTAAGTTACAAACGGTCTTTTCCATTTAAAACTGTTGATCCCACTTTTAAAATTGGCCAGCATTCCCAAGATCACCCAAACTGAACACTAGGACTTCAAGCTGGTGAAAGACTAGAGTGTTGTGAATTAACTGTATCAAGACCTCCAGAAATGTAGGCAACCTTCTCAAAGGTTTATTTACCAAATCCAACCCCAGAATAGTCTATGGGTTTAGGCCTTTGAGTATGCCTTTTTGTTAGGCTGCTGAACAGACCAACTGAAAGGCAGGCAGAGGGAAAGTGGGTAAGAGGGATATATGTGAGCTACTCCTAAGCTCTCAATGCATTTCTAATCTAGAGGCTCCTCCACTGAACCTTGCCAAGGCAACAATGAACAATCTGTGTTTACGCAAAGTGCCACTTGCCTATCACCTTGCCAGAATCATGTAGATTACCTTAGTCATAAAATGAAGATCAAAGCCACCTTTACCTGGAGAGAAAAACTGTGTATGACTCCAAGCCTTATTTGCCCTGGACTGCATTCAAAAGTCCAGAAATAAAGGTGCTTCAAAACAGCATAAAGTACCGTTCTGTTGCCAGGACCTCGTAGACCCACAGAATTTAAGGGCAAGCACAGAGCTTTTTAGAAAATTACTTGCTTCTCAAGGTACATAGGAGGCAGTTCCTCATGCCCAATTAGTAACAGGTTGTCAACACCTACTTTGAAATTGCCATTATGCAAAGGACATGCTGTACCCCCAAGGGATGGGGATTCGGATGGGGAGGCAAGTATTATCTCTGGTTGATATGGAAGGGAAGGTGTCACCCCATTTCCTCATCGATGGTGTGTAGCTGGGGAAATCCTGAACACTTCCAGAATCCGCTGGGTTTTCACATTATGGTCCTAGAAGAAACACCCTTTTCCAAAGGAGAATGTACTCATCCAAAAAAGGAAAAACGAAAACTTTTCAAAGGAAGTAGAATGAATTTTTGGCTTTTAAACCTAAAATGAAATGGCCACAAGATGGCGGCAGAGGCAAAAATATTGGAATGGACAGTTGCAAGGGTATTATCAAGGCAAGAGCTATCTAGTAAAGAGTACAAAACTATTATTAAAGTCATAAGGAAATGAGATAATAAAATCATGTCACCTGCCCACCACCCTCCAAAATCAGAAGCAAAAAGATAGTCTAAAGCTCTTAGAAGAGTGTAAATTATTAGACTTTTACATAAAGGGAAAAATCATACTGGCAGTATAGTGTTAAAATGACACATAAACAAATGGAACGACTTCAGGCCAACTGTCTACAAAGAACATTCACCGAAGCAGTACCAGACTCCTGATGTCTAAAAGCTAAGCATCTTATTTCCACAATGCTTTTCTTTTTCATTTCCCGTGAGAACCTGAAGCCAGAAATTTTGGTTCAATTGCTTCTTAATTTATAATACTTAAGAGCTTAGAATAATGGATAACTATTCAACTACAGATTTAATTTGTTATGAGTATTTTTCTAGAACTAATGTAAGGACTAGAAAACTCATATTAATTGTATGATTGATAAAGTCAATTCAAAGGTCTTTGAGACTGAGGAATAAACCTCCGACTTGATATGGACTTCACCTTTTGCTCTATTGTAAGGTGTAAGAGCTAACTTAGATCGTGTTTAACAAAATGACAGCTAATAAACAAGAAAAATACAGAAATCAAAACACAGCAGCACCCTCCTGTGCCTTTCTTTGTAGACCCTCCATATGCTTTATTAACTCATATTCCTGGGCTTAGATGTAACGGGTAAATGTGAGTTAAAGATTGAGTTAAGATGTCCTGGGTTAATTCCCTTACACTGTCTTGAGTTTGGTAACAGAAGCCTCTGCTGTCTTCTCCTTAAAGAAACTGACTATTTTGGTCAGATGATCCCAGATATGGGTTTCTTTATGCTTTCACCATCACTTTTCAGACTACCTTAAGAGGTCTGGTGGCAGGTCCCAACATAGTAACTGAAGTCTAGCCTTTGTCCAGATAAAGCTCTACCTTCATGTTTTAAAAGAAAACTAGAACTGCTTAGTCGAAGAGCCCTAGGGAAAAGAACTATCCAGAACTATCCCACACTTCTAGTTCCTTGTTATACCCCAGTTGAGGTATATCACTTACACAGTGTGATGAATCTTTTCTGATTCTGGTAGGTGAGAGGTTGGAGTTGCTGAGGTTTGGGGCTGTGTGGCAGCTGGTGGCTCTGCCTCTTCAGCTTCACACTTCTTTGGACTCCCCTGTCAGGACAAACATAGCAAAACAAACATAGCAACGTACTTATATCTGCTGGGTTCCTTTTCTTTAACCTGGAGCAGGTAAAAGGCAGAGCAGGGCATACACCATACACCAGCTCTGCATTCAGCCCTACGTATCTTTATTTCATTTTACAAAATAGAATGGAATATTGCTTTAAAAATTTCTATGTCAGCAATCATTTTATTAGAATTCTACTATGAAAGAAACAAGAAAAGGCTTCCTTTTGGGCAGGGGGGAAAAAAAGAGTTCTGTGGAATAACTGACCCTGAGCATCCTCCTGGAGCTGAGAACTCAGCCTCATGAACCAGGGAGTTGGAAATGAGTTAAGTGGAATCTAATAGGTACCCCCAACCTTCTACATTTCTAGTGAATCTTGTCCAGACTGGTCTTTCAGTTTTATAGTTAAGACAAAAGGGAAAATCATGCCTAATCCTCCATCTCCCTCTAGGGAGAGGGCATAATAGCCTACCCGCTCAGGCTGTACCCTCTGTGTCACATGCTTTTCGGCTGGCTCAGGTTGGCTCATAGGCCTCACTGGAATAGAGGATGAGGTGGAAGTCCTCTCCTTTGGCTCAAGGACCTGCAGCTGTGGCACTGGTGGAGTTGCAACCTCCTGACCAGAAGAGGGATCTTTGGTTTCAGTGTAGCTGGTGCTGCTGTCCCTGGAGACTCCAGGGCTCAGAGACTGAAGAAATGAAACACATAATGCAAATTATTTTATGTGGTCTATGTTCAGTAGATCACTGAGTTTTCCAACCTCTGCTGACCCAATTTAATACTTTGGAATTTTTTGTCCCTGTGTTTATTCCTGTTTGTTAGTAGTGATCTCCCTAACTTCTTATATTATTCCACAAATTACTTATTAAGTCCCAACCAGGTGCTGGGTACTGGAATACCCGTGTAAAAAGACATGTCCATATCCCTAAGAAGTTTACAGTCTAGTGGAGAAGGTGGGTAAATGAAGTGTGTGTGTGTGTGTGTGTGTGTGTGTAAATCAAATTCTTTTTTTTTGTAAAGAGGCTCAAAAAAGAAAAAAAGGACCCTATTTAGGGATCAATTAATTGAAAATTAGACTCTGAAAAGTAATCACTGAACTAGCAACTAAAGGAAGCTTTTCCTATTTCTGCCAGAAAATGATAGCTTCTCCTGCTGTTGAAAAACACTGGCATACAGACAGAACATCAAAACACCCAGGATACTCCCATACTTACTTTTCTGCTGTTGCTTGATGCTGAACGTGAACGAGAACGTGACCTGGACTCTGATGTTGATCTGGAGCCCATCTTGGATCTACCACGAGGGTTGGCATGAGCTATATCTCTCTGTTTAGATCTTGGAGGTGAGTGAGAATGAGAGCCTGAACTATCAGGAGAGCGAGATCTTGATCTAGAACTGGAAGATGAAGATGAGGAGGACCGGCTAGAGGATGAGTCAGCTGACCGTTTCAATCTGTGGCTTGGGAGAAGGGTATGAGAAGCCCTTCTGCCTTCCTTCTGTTCCAAAGATGGCTGTTTCAGAGATTCCTCAATGATCCCTTTGGCTGGTGCTAATTCCTCAATTTTTAGAGGGAGTGGTGGAGCAGACTTGTCCAACTCAGTTTCAGGACCCTTCTGGGTTGAGGGGTCAGCTAGTATGCTTTTCTGAACTAGAGGCAGGACACTCTCTTCTGGCACTTTCTCAGCTGGAGATTCTGCATTGGTGTCTGCAGGACTTGTCGAAGACGACAAGCCTCCTGCCAACTGGACAGTATGCTGAGCTATTAATAGCTCCCTGGCCTCAGCATCTGTATTAGGAGGAGATAACTGAATGAGAACAGGGGGGGCTGGGCCTTCCATGGGCTCTGCTTCTTCTTCACTCTGAAGTTGTGTATTAGGTGGTGGTGAAGATGCTTCCTTGGTAAGTAAAGGTGGGGGAGTCTCCTCCTCACTGGCAGTTTGTTCTGGTTGTAGCATAAGAGGGGCCTTTTCCAGATCTTCAGTCAATCGAGGAGGGGAAGGAGACTTTGATTTTTCCTCCAAGACCTTTGAAGATTTTGTTTCTCTTTCTTCTTCCTCAAGGGTAGAAGCTGTCTTCATCTCTTTCTCCTGCTGATGTCTGGCCAGATGACTTTTTCTACTAGCCTCTTCCTGGGACCTTGTAACTCTCCCTCCTTTCTCTAACCCCTCCTGTTCTTGTGATCTTATGGTTTGGGGTCTCTCATCCATCACCTCTTCTGGTTTTGCTCTCAGCATCTCTTTCCCCTCTTCTTCCTCAAACTGTTTCAGAACTGGTGCTTCCCTAGATTTTACTCCCTCCTCCTCTTCCTCCTCTTCCTCCTCTTCTTCCTCTTCCTCTTCCTCCTCTTCTTCCTCCTCTGTTTTCAAATTTCGATCTGCTCTGATCCTCAGATTTCTGGAAGGTGTCTCTTGATCCTCTTCCTCCTCAGCAACCTGGCTGCACTCTGAGAGTTTAGCTGCTCTTGCCTAAAAATCTACAATGGTTTCAAGTATATTTGCTCACTATCAAAAGAGAAGAGAAAAAATATCTCACGAGAAACACACAGGAAGGAGGAACTCAAATGACACATGTCTTTTTCAGCAACACAGAAATGTGTGACAGTAAACAAACATGACAAACATGGACTCTTACTGAATCAGAGTGACCAAAAAAAATACAATAATGATAACTTCCAATTTATTTTTTAGCTTCAAGCTTTAAAAATAAATATAAATTAAAATCTAGAAAGAAGGGGGGATCGGCCTATTATCATTTAATGGGATTATTTTTTTTTATTTTGGTATATTTAATTTTTCCCATTGGTTCTAGTCACAACTATACTATACATACACTTTCATATTTGCTCACTTAATATATCAAATAGTTTTAAGGTTTTAATTGAATAATTAATTATATGTTTTTAAATACTGTGCTTTAGGAAGAGACTACATACCAGGAATACATATCAGCCTACTAACTTTTACAATTAAGTTTTATTTTTTATATATTCACTCGGACATCTGAAGGCCAGAACAGATCTAAATTAAAAAACAAAAAATGAAAAAAAGAAGAGAAAGAGAAGATGAATGCATAAAAATCTAGAGATGCCAACTCTAAAATAGTTTGAGGAGGAAGGAAAGGAGGAGGTATCCAAAGCATTACCCAAAGAGGTGATGAATGCTTTAGGAGATATTTGAGTTACCTGTCTGACCCTGGATGATCGTCTTTCTCCTTTCCTTGGTTTCTCATCATCAGAGTCGCCTTTCTCTTCAGAAATAGAGGAGCTTTTTCCTATCAAACAAAAGAAAATCAAGTCAGACTCATGACATGAACATTCACTCAAGGTTGCTTTCTTCTAAATTCAGTCAATCATAGCACATGAGCTCATCAATACATACTGGTATCAATTTATTTGACTTCTATGCAGAAGAAAAGACTTATATTATAAAGCCCTATGGGTCACGGTATTATTGATAATTCCTGCTGCATATGTCTGGAATATTTTTAGTATATCAAAACCAATTCACTTACTACAAATAACTCAAATAAATTAAAATAACTACCAGGGCATTAAAACTGTCTAGCAGAGATGTACAAATACAAAATGCACTTATTTCTATAAAATGTTTTCTTAATCTGAATCAAAACTCAAGACTTCACTATGTTCACTATTTTTTTGGATTGCCAATTGCTACCACTAGTTTTGACCAATACATTATGATTAATGTACCGGTTTGTAAAATAACAATCTTAATGAAGTAAGTACTTAAACAGTTTTCAGGGCCCTAAAGTACTTAGAAATTATTAGAAGCAAATTGGACAGGGCTTCAGAAATAGTCTTTTTCAATTATGTTTTATATATGGCACTCAAGGTGAGATTTTTTTTTAAGGGAAAATAAGTTCTACTAAAAGAAAGCTTGGAAACTGTTAGTGTAGGTTACTGCAAATACTCCATGTAAAACTGGAAAAATTTCTTCTCACATTTTACAAAGCATGGTAACTTGGTCACAATGACTTGACTTGAGAAAAAGGAGGGAATGGGCTGGAAGATGTCTAAGTTTTCTACAAGTATTAAAACATTAAGTAGAGCCCTGGCTGGCATAGCTCAGTGGATTGAGCTCGGGCTGCGAACCAAAGTGTCGCAGGTTCAATTCCCAGTCAGGGCACATGCCTGGGTTGCAGGCCATGGTCCCCAGCAACTGCACATTGATGTTTCTCTCTCTTTCTCTTTCTCCCTCCCTTTCCTCTCTAAAAAATAAATAAAATCTTAAAAAAAAAAACCCAAAACATTAGATAGAGCATCAACGCAAATACTGATGAGAACACAGTATATAGAAGACAGCCTAAAGAACATTACATTCCAGATATACACCCAGCTAGATTGGGCTCCATTTTAATACAGTACAAAAGGTTTAAACGATCCACAAAGCTATGCTCTACAATAATAGTATATAGAATGGTGGTAAATAAAGCAGATGGTGTGAGCTCTAATCCAGGATCTCCTCTCTTATTTCTGTATCTCAACAATCTAAAATGAACTAGTCTTTGCTTCGGTAAATTAAAAAAAGAAAGTTATAAAAATGAACTAGAAGACTGCACATATTTTGTAAAACTTTACTCCATGATCACTTAACTAACAGGATCTCTACACATACACCATTTTTCATCTGTGTACAGGATGTATGGTTAAGACATGTAGTATCAGGCCAGATTTTTTTAGTAAACAGTTTAGAATAACTTGTAAGAAATCAATAAATAGCCCTGGTGAGGTAGTTCACCTGGCTGGAGTGTTGTCTGAATAAAGCAAGGTTGTGGGTAAGGTCAGGGTACATATAAGAGTCAACCAATGCATATGATTTCACTCATATGTGGAATCTAATGAACAAGCTGAACTAAAAAGCAAAATAGAGAAAGACTCATAGACAGCAGGCGACAGCTCTGGGATGGGGATTACGAGGTAGAGGGAGTGAGGAAAGAGGCAAAAGGACTATTGGACATGAACATCAGTGTGATGATTGCAGGCAGTGGGATACAAGGGAGATAAATGGTAAGGAAAAAAATACCAACCACTCCCCCCACAAAAACAAAACAAAACAACTCCTAGACAGACAAGAGTACAGTGATTACCACAGGGAAATGAGGGTTGGGGAAGGTAGGAGAGGGTAAAGAGGCGATAAACGAAAGAGGGAGACTTGACTTGGGGTGCTGAACACACAATACAATATACAGATGATGTATGATAGAATTGTACACCTGAAATCTATAATTTTATTATTGACCAATGTCACCCAAATAAATTCAATTTAAAAAAGTCAACCAATGAATGAATAAATGGAACAATGAACATTTATCTCTCTCCCCCCTCTTAAAAAAATGTGACAATATGAAACAAGAGCTTACTTAGTAAGCAAAACAAAATATAAGAGATGAAGAATCTCTTTCTAGTTCTTTGTATAAAGCTGATACGACGCAGACAAGCTTTTGGAAAAGGTACCATCTTTCCATTATGAGCACAGGGCCACGTAAGTGTTCTAAGCCAGATGTGAATAATATGTGTAGAAACTGAGCACCTTTAGCAAAAGGTGGAGCAAACAGTGGGGATGGGTTAATGAATTTATTTTAGGAATAGAAAAGCAAGTCAGGGTAAATGTTAAGATTTCCAAGATTCCAAAGCCAGATGCCTTCAGGATTTGTCCTTGTCAGGACAAGGTGGCTGGCTACTGGCTGCTAGACAATGTATAAGGTATTCAACTGAAAAATGGAAGAACCATATTGGAGAGTAGGGTCTTCACCCTAGAAGACAAATCTCTGGGGAGGATTTACAGGACCCCAGTAAGGTAGCTAAAGATCACAGCAAGCCCTGGCTGGCATGGCTCAGTGGACTGAGTGTTGGCCTGTGAACTAAAAGGCTGTAGGTCTGACTCCCAGTCAGGGCACATGCCAGGGTTGCAGGCCACATCCCCAACTGGGGGCATGTGAGAGGCAACTGATTGGTGTTTCCTTCCCTGTCTTTCTCCCCTCCTTCCCCTCTCTCTAAAAAAATAGATAAAGCCTTAAAAAATAAAAGATAACAGTAAACCCTGTAGCCAAAGGGTATCTGGGTTTGAATAAGATACAGGAATTAAAAGAATGGAGACCTGGCAATGATGTCAAACTTAAATCTGAGTCATGGTGGCTGTCTACGTTAAACATTATCTAGCATTTCTCTAGCATCTCAGCATCCAGATTTAATATGAGAAAAAGTAATAAGCACTACATGTTCTGTAAGCAAAAGCCTCGCTAAGATCCCTTGGGGCTACTCCTTTGTTAAAGAACCTGTATTCTAAATACTCATTTTAAAATGTTTTGGCATTTTTTCCCTCCTAATTTTCCTAGATTGGGCTCTTTTTGAAAAAAGTTAACATATGATATTTGTATACCCAGTCATGATCTAAAAGGGACTCCAGACAACTTCTGACTATTAGAGGGTGGGTACTGACTCCCAATACCTAAGAAAATCTGAAGAAAGTGATAGACAGGAAGGCAAGAAGGAGAGTCAGGGAGGATTTTATAAACGTTCTCCTTCCTATTTGGGATTGTCTATAGCACATAAATAGGAGGTTGCTGAAATATAAACCAAGGATCATGATTAAACATACTGAAAAACTATTCTTTCAGTTAGTCATTGATAAATTGAGTTGATCAACAGAACAATAAGAGGACTTAAAAAAATGTCAAGTCCCAGAAGAACAGAACTACAAGAGGACTTTAAAAAAATGTAGAGTCCCAGTCTTTGCCAATATGGCTCAGTTGGTTGGGCATCATCCTGGAAAGCGAAAGGTGGCCAGTTTGATTCCTGGTCAGGCCACTTGCCTGGGTTGTGGGTTCAGTCCATACAAGAGGCAATTGATCGAAGTTTCTCTCCCACATTTATGTTTCTCACCTTCTCTTTGTCCCTCCCTTCCCCTCTCTCTAAAAATAAATAAATAAAATCTTTAAAAAAATACCATCTTCTACTGTTAGTTTTATGTGCAATTGTCTTCTCTCTCCCTAAAGAGATTTTTACAAATGTGCTACCTCCCCATACACTCTAGTATGGAGATATGTACATAGCAGAAATCAATAAATACTTTGAGTGATTTTTATTTGAGAAGAAATACTGACAACTAATTTATAAGAGTTTCCCCCCCTACTCCTGGCTTTACGATCAGGGAAAAAAGAGTGCTAAGCGCTAAATGAATCAATTGAGGGTCTGCCACTTTTATATTTGAGAAGAAAGTCTCTAAAAGAGTGTGTTTCTCTCCAACCATTAAACACCTCCTAAAAACTTATTTTCAAGAAGAAATTCTACCTGGCTGGCATAGCTCAGTGGACGAGCACGGGCTGTGAACCAAAGCATTGCAGGTTCAATTCCCAGTCAGGGCATATGCCTGGGTTGCAGGCCATGGTCCCCGGCAACTGCACATTGATGTTTCTCTCTCTCTCTTTCTCTTTCTCCCCCCCCCACCGTCTCTAAAAATAAATAAATAAAATCTTAAAAAAAAAAAAAAGAAGAAGAAGAAATTCTATATCAATCAGAAGAGCCAGCAACTAACCACGACCACTTACATTAATGATTCAGCCCTGGCTGGCATAACTTAGTGGATTGAGCGTGGGCCTGCAAACCAAACGGCTGCCAGCTGGATTGGCAGTCTAGGGCACATGCCTGGGTTGCAGGCCAGGTCCCCAGTGGGGGGCGCATGACAGGCAACCACACATCAATGTTCTTCTAGCTCTCTTTCTCCTTCCCTACCCCTTTCCAAAGATAAATAAATAAAATCTTTTTTAAAAAATCAATAAAAAACTTGTTAATTTACGCATTGGTTCAATATAGTTATCTGCCCCGACCAGTGTGGCTCAGTTGGTCGAGTACTGTCCTGTAAACTGAAAGTTCGCTTGTTCAATTCCCGCACATGCCTAGGCAGCAGGTTTGGTCCCTGGTTGGGGTACGTGCAACAGGAAACCAATCAATGTTTCTCTCCCTCTCTTTCCCTATAAAAACTTTATAAAAAATATAGCTATTTATTGTACACAAGTCTTATGCACATGTTCTTCTGAAAGGATACTTAGATAAGTATTTCCTGACAAAGGCTGCATTTATACTTTTGCATGAGATGTTATGCAAAACTGGTTGCCTAATAATATGAAAAATTTAATCTTGCCTGAACCTAGTCCACATACTGGGTCACATAATACTCTGCACTGACTTTCATAGCACATAGCACAATTGTAATTAATTATGTCATAATTTGTTTAATGCCCATCTCCTCGCTAGACTATACGTTTCATTAGGGCAGAGACTTCTCTCTTTCTTTACTATATTCCTGGTGCCTAGCACATGCCTGGCATAAACAGATGCTCAATAAAAATTATGAATTAATAAACTATAGTAAATGCCCTCTTGGGGGTGATGGGATGCGCAACTCATACATAATTGGTAAAGAGGTGAAAAAAAGTTGTGACCATTGCTAAATTCAGAGGCAGAAGAGGTTGAAAAGGTACAGAGGAAAAGAAAAATCAAATTGCTTTATAAAACACTCTGAGAGGTTAACACAACATAGTGGTGAAAGCAGACTTCAAAAAGGACATAGTTTCCATAAAAAACATGTCAAATATCAAGTCACAGAGTTTCCCTGGGACTTGAATTAACGGAGGCTTAGCAGGAAAGGAGGTGTAACTACCTCCCCCCACCAACTACGCAGGATTGACAAAACAGCGCAGTGGGGAGGGAGATACGTACTGGGCGAATGTCTGCTGAGCTCCAGCTCTGGTCTCTCCAGGCTGCTCTGAAAGTCAGGAGGCAGCAGGGAAGCCACTCCCTCAGGATGGATCATCTCGTCCTCCGACTCAGCTGAAGCTTCTGCAAAGTACAGATTGGGTCGGGGCAGGGAGGGAGTGAAGGGCTCAGCATGTGGGAATATGTAGGAGTGAAGGAGGTCAGGCAAAGTCATGGATACAGAGTATTTACTAAAAAGAGTGCTGTACATAGAGAAAAACTCCCTAGGACTAAGCTCTACCTCATCTAAAGGGTGGCTTAATTTACTTTTAACTCTTCCTGGTGGCAGGAATCCTCTTCTAATAAGATAGTCAAATTAAGTGTCTTCTGCCCTGACAAAAAGTAAATAGTAACTTTCTTGGCTCCATAAACTACCAAAACAAATAAGTAGTTAGTCTCAGACTGACTTATTCCTGGAATTGCCTAAACAGGCCGATCTACTTGGTTACAGGAATAAGAATGAAGAACTCCTTGTAAGAAGCAACGGTTCTGGGCTTACCTTCAAGTTCTGCAGCTTCTCGAGCTTCACGTTCCAGACGCTGCCTAAGTAGCTCCTGCTGCTTTTCCAGATACTGCTTTATGAAACTGTTCTGGCTCATTTCCTCGCCAATCTGTGTACAGGACATGGAAAAGGAAAGTCTAGGAAGGCAAATTAGGAAAATGCAAGGAAAAACATTCCATGGTCCAAAGGTCTTACCCCTTACTGGACTCAAGAAAGATGATTAAAATGTTAGATGGCCCTTTTTTAAGCTACTTTTATGCTGAGGACCAAAATAAATAGCCCTATGATCCACAAAAGATGGCAAGGTGCGGAACTTCATGTAATTTTTTAATTTTAATATTCAGTTCCCATCCAAAGAATGATGCATAAATAATGTAAAAGAAATAAATTCCTGTAAAACTACATCTTTTAATGTAAATTTTTAGATAATAAAAAATATTATCTAAAAACAATCTAGCTCTGACTGGTGTGCTGTTGGTTCAGTGTTATTCTACAAAGCAAAAGGTCATTGGTTCGATTCCTGGTCAGGGTCCATGCCTGGGTTTTGGGTTTGTCCCCAGTCAAGGCAACTGATCCATCTCTCTCACACTGATGTTTTTCTCCCTTTCTCCCTCTCTTCCCTTCTCTAGAAATAAATAAATAAAACCTTTTGAAAGGAAAATCTAAATTGTTCTTATGATAGTAACATCAAGAAATGAAACAAAAAAATTCTAGTTCATTTTTTGTTGCTAACAGAAAATCAATCTCAACCTATCCAGGCAACATTTTGACAAACATCTTTAAAATGCAAGAATAGTACTTAAAAGTATGAAAACAAATTAAAAAAAGGATGTCCATTCAACTTTTAGACAGAGTTCTAACTTCATTTTCTTTGGGTGATAAGAAATCTGTGGTAACAATATTCAAAATCCAGAGGCTTCATCCTCCCTGCCCCCCCCTTTTTTTTGCAACACAGACCCCCACATCAATCTTTTGTCCTTCAGCTTTCTCTTCACAAATCTTCCTCCTGAGAACATTCTTGTTGGGCAAGCCCTTTAGAACTCCAGAAAAAGGAAAAAAATCTAAATACTTTCTATATTACTAGTTATCTTTCATAAGTATGGTAAATGTTCACTTTCACCTAAAGTAGAAATAGTTTCTTGGTACTCAATGGACATTGATGAAGTGTGGGTTCATATATTAGAGAATACATATATTTGTTGCAAAAGTGCTATGATAGCTCTGGCTGGTGTGGCTCAGTGGATTTAGCACCAGCCTGCAAACCAAAGGGTTGCTGGTTCAATTCCCAGCCTAGGGCACATGCCTGGGTTGCGGGCCCAGGTAGGTTTCCAGGGCTCGTTAGAGGCAACCACACACTGATGTTTCTCTCTCTTTCTCCTTCCTTTACCCTCTCTGAAAATAAGTAAATAAATAAAATCTTGTAAAAAATCCTATGTCAATAAAAGCAAAGCTTCAAAGACTAAAATGCAAAAGGAATATAATCATAAACTGATTAACTTATGCAGTTTCTAATGCTTATTAAAGTACTTAACTAAACCTATGTAAGCTGGCTGGATTAAGATACAATTTAATGAGGTGATAACAAGGTAGGAAGGCGGCTCTCTTCTTTTTCCACAGTATCTTGGGACTTGAGCTGCACACTACTGCACTAACAAAGATCTGGATTTTTCCTTTAAGTGCATGATACACTACAATGAGGGAATTTTAAAACGGAAAAAATCTTAAGAGACTATGCAGTTTAAAATAGTGCTAAAATTTTAGTTTTTAGGGTTTTTTATTTTAAAAGAAAACTGTAGAATGATTACTTCTAAAGTCTTATGCACAAACTCAATATACAAAGCAGACAGAAATAGATCATCTGATCTAATTTAAGAGCGGAGTGTGAACCCTTGCTCACTTGGGAAAAAGGTTTATTTCCTAGGAAGCCGCCAAAAACAGCTTCACAAAACCTGAGCAGAGCAGGTATAAAACTATGGATCTGGTCCAACCTCTCATATTACACATAGGGAAACTGAAGAAACCAAGGCCTCAAAGGTGAATTATTTTGCCTTAAGTAACAGAGCAACTAATTACATTTAGGAGTAACTGCATGGTGAGTATTAGCACTTTTAATGGTGGGTGATTTCCAAAGGACCAAATTCTTGAAAAATCTAAGTCAACACAAGAGTTCCTCAGCAAGTATTTTCCTACATTGCCTAGTGATTGTCTACTTTATTTCCATATTCAAAGACTACTACATCCCCCAAATCAGTGGCAAATAAATGGCTTCAGATCCCTGTACAACACTTAAGTTGGAGCCACATCTTTCTGCACACACCATTTCAAGTATGTATTAGAAATGAACGAATAGCTCTTCTCTTCTCAAAGAACCAGCTCCTGGATTTACTGATCCTTAGAATTGTGCTTTTAGTCTCTATGTTGTTTAATTCTGCTCTGATCTTGGTTATTAACAAGATTCTGATTCTGTTCTTGAATTCTTTTATTAGAATTCAACTTTCCTGGTATAAGAACACTTCTGACCCAGGGAACTTAAGAAATGTTGGTAAGGAATCAAGGATCAAGTATATGTCATGTCTTTCCATGTGTTTGTGTATCCAAAGAGCCTACCCCCTCTAATGAACCTTCTTTCTTACCTGGGAATTTGGCTGAAATGCAGCATGGGGTGTTGAGTGTTTCTGTAAATTTTCTAGCATTAGAGCCTGGTGTAAAGAAGGGCAAAAAGTCAGAAATCAGGTGGAAAAAGGCCACCCCTCCCCCAATCTCTTCATTAAATGCAACAACTACCCATAAACACTTAAACTGTACTCTTTCCAGGGTACCTAAAAGCCGTTTACTAATACTGTTCTCATTTATCTTCAGAAGACCCTTAAAGGTAGCCATGGTTACTGCTCCCAAATGTACAGAGGTAAAATGTAGGCACATGAGACAATCAGTGACCTAACAAAATCAGTGACAGTTATGAGTCAGTACTACAATATAACCTCTATAGTCTTTTGGACTTCTGACTAGTGCCCCTTCTAAACCTGGCACTGCAGGTAAAATTCAAATACTCAAATCAGCTCCAAATACATGAAACCATGGGGCTGCTGGTTTTGGTCTGATTGAATTACTTGGTCAAACAGTTAACCAGGACTACATTTAGTTACCCAGGACCAGATCTACTTAAGATTCTTTCCAAAAGAGTGGCACCTAGATTTACTAAATTTAAAGAAGAGACTACAGAACAAAATGAGCAGACCCTGTAAACTGTGGTCTGACTTAATGATCCTCCCCACGAAATTGTCAGTTTATGTATAAAGCAACACTCTGCCAACTCAACCCTTGAGCCAACCCAGCCCTAAGCTGTACTACCCACCACATATCCTAATTCACCCCACTTAAAACCAAGACATCATCATCTTCCCTCCGTTTACACCAAACCCATACACATCAATCCATATATCCACCTCATGACTATCCTACCCTAACCTACTCAAACCGATTCAAAACCCCCAACATATATACCAACCTGCCTCACCTCTCTCACCAATAGTCATCAAACTCTAATCTACCCAAATTACTGTGGATGCCCTATAAATTATACACCCCTCTATAACCATATCCCTTCAAATTAAGGATTCTCTTCATCACAGCTCCTAATGTAATCAGACAGACATTTTTACCCTACCCCAATCTTATTTTTCTGGATATCGATACCAACCCCATCAACCTCTCCCAGCAACTATACCCCTAAACTCCCACCCAGACCAACCAGCCCCCCCATCAGGCCAACAACACCGGCGGTAGTAGTGGGATTTAACTCCTTCTGCAGCGCATGCGCCGAAACCACAGACACAAACAAGGAGGGGGTGGGGAAAGAAGGAAGGAGCTTAAGACACTCTGGGAGAGTAGCGCGCACCCTCCCATTTTGTGCTCGCGCTGCTGCCGTTAAGGCGGGAACTGGCGCTATCTCGATACCAGCGCGAGCCTCGCCAACCTCCGTGCGCACGGCTCCGGAGGCTCGCGCTGGCGGCCTGAGCCAGCTCGCGCCGAGCACGGACACTGCGCCTGCGCCGCAGCAGAGACTCGTCTCTACCGGGTCCGCTCCCCTCCGACACTCCGGCAAGGCCGTCTCCTCACCCCTTTGAGCCGCTTGACCAGGGCACTCTTCTGCCCGCTCTTGGCTAGGCCTCGCTGCTCTAGTGCGGCCTTCAGGTCGGTCACCCGCAGCGCCTGAAGAGGCTTCCCGTCCAGAGTCACCTCCTCCAGCTCCGCCATCTTGCGTGAGGTACTCGGGTCCGTCCCGACGGCTTCGGGCATCTTCGGTAATTTCCGCTAACGCCCTTCGAACGTACAGATCTGACTCCGCCCACTGCCATAATCCACCCCTCGATTACCACTCACAACTCCCCGAGTTCCTCCGGAACTGCTCGGGTGTTTCCGTCTCCACATCGGCACCAATCGGTTCTTTCCATCCTGTCAGACGCTTCCCCCCTCCCTCATCCCTCTTTTAGAGCTCGGTTATCTTCGTTTTACCGAGGCTTTGAATCGAATGTATTCGGAAGCCCTCGACTCTGGCCTAACCAAGATCGGAGTTATTCGGCTCTCTCCGGACCTAACGCCGAAACGCTGGGGCGCTTGGGTGTTTGGGGCTGGTCCGGGACCGGAAGTGCGTGGGCTGCCTGGCTGGCCTTGCTTAGGGTTTTCAGGAAACGTGGAAGCAGTGGCGGTAGATGGAGCCCAAGTACTCTTGTGATGGTCTCTCGGTTCCCTGTGAGAGGAAAGGGGAGGTAAGCGGGGTAGAAGTCCTTTTCTGGGCTGGGTCAGACTCGGTGTTTGCGGGTCACCCTCGTGGAGCAAGTTTCTTCTACGGAAACTGATCTTGCCTCCCGTCCTCTTAATCCCCGCCACTCCCATCTAAGACTACGTTTTTCTTTGGGACCTCGCAATGCCAGGCTTATGGGCCTCCAAGGTGGGAAAGTGGTAGTGGCGTGCCTTCGGACTCAGACTGAACTAATTCATGATTAGTGAACTTGAGTTTGCCGTGGAAGTCATATCGGGAGACTCGGGAAAAATTCACTTTCCTCGAATAAGGGAATACAGTTCTTTTAGGAGAAATTGCTTCTTGCAGGGCCACGGAAAAAAAAAACAGCCTCGCAGGGCTCGTTGGTACAGAACTGATGTTAATTGCTTAGAGGTTCCTTTCTCTTTACAAATAATCCATTTGGCACAAACAGTACAACAGCTTATATACAGTAGTAGTTTAAGGTTTTCATTGTTAGAGATTCAAACTGTGGTCCTTGAAAACTATTCAGGTTGGCCGACCTCATAGTTGCATTAGTGATGCACATCAGTGATAGGGCATCAGTAGGCATTATGTTGAACATTAGGGAAAACAGTTGAAACACGTGAATTGTTATACATCTGCAGCAGTGTAACACTTGTTAGATCCGTAAGCCACCAAACCAACTATGCTTTTTTTCAGTCTTGTATAAACACGTGACTATTCTTTTGTTTTTCTTACTGTGTTATCTTATTTTGGTTCAGGGCCCATCACTTCTGCCCTCCTTCCTGGTGATTTACAGGAAATATGAAGAAGTAATGGATGTTATCAATTTCTTGGCATACTTTTTTTTTAAAGATTTTATTTACTTACTTTTAGAGAGAAGGGAAGGGAAGGAGAAAGAGGGAGAGAAACATCAGTATGTGAGAGATACATGGATCAGTTGCCTCTCACATGCCCCCAACTGGGGACCTGCCCTGTAACCCAGGCATGTGCTCTGTCTGGGAATTGAACTAATGATGTTTCAGTTTGCAGGCCAGTGCTCAATCCACTAAGCCACACTAGCCAGGGCTGTTGGCATATTTTAGAAGCTGTGTGTATGTTGCAAAGGAGACTCATTTATTATATGTGATGTATTTTTTCCCCTCCACTGTTGATGGCTCTGGAATGTTTAGCATTGGGCCTTCCCTGACCAGTTGTATATTTGGTTAAAAACTGGGTACCTTTTTTCACTTAGGGAAGATAAGATGGACCAACATTAATCATTTTTTTCTTTACTCAACCTGGAACATAGAAATAGGCAGGAGAAAATGGGTAAGAAATGTATTGGATAAGCTGGGATTATTGAGAGTCAAGAACAGCAGAAGAGGAAGAAAAGGAAAAACAAAAGAGATGTAGAAGTGGTCAAACAACAACAAAAAAGAAGATGATTGCCAAAAAAAAGTTACGATAGCCAAAATTCCCAGAGCAAAGAAGAATTATATAAGAGTATGTGCCCTTGCTCTGGCTGGGTGGCTTACTTGGTGAAGGGTCATCCATATACCAAAAGGCTGCAGGTTTGATTTCCAGTTCAGGTGCTTGAGGAGACAACTAATTGATGTTTCTTACTCATATCAGTGTTCTTTTTCTCTCTCTTCTCCCCACCCCCTGCCCAAATCAATAAATATATCCTCAGATGAAAATTTTAAAATGAGAGTATGTGGCCTTGCAACTTTTGAAATTGATCTTAAAAAGAAGCACAAAGATTTTTTTGCTAAAAAAATTCTGTAGTGCCTCAGTAACTGGAAGATGAAATCATCATTGAAGGAGGCTTTACAGGTTACATCATTGATGTCATTTTGGAAAAATGGCCAGATGTAGATGATGATAGATTTTGGAGAAGTGAAGAAGTGATTTTAAAATGTATACATGGATGATCTGAACTGATATGGCCAAAGGGAGAGATGTTATTTGAAAACATATTTATCCTACAGTAAAACTGTAAGCTACCCTCACCCTTGGCATTTTCACTGTTCAGTACAAGGCTGCTTGTTTTTAATCACCAAAGTCTAATAAACAGAGGAAACTGTCATGCTTATGGTTAGTCAAAAATTTTTGGTCACTTGAAAAAAGTTATTTTTAGATTTTTTTTAATAAGAATGATGCCCTGGCTGGCATGGCTCAGTGAGTTGAGTGCCAGCCTGCGAACCAGAAGGTTGCTGGTTCAGTTTCCAGCCAGGGCATATGCCTGGGTTGTGGGTCAGGTCCTCAGTTGGGTACATGTGAGAGGGAACCAAGCAAGTTTCAGTGTTTCTCTTTCTCCTTCCTTTTCCCTCTCTAAAAATAAATAAAATATTTTTTTAAAAAAGAATGATGGAGGGAAACAGTGGTTGGGGAGGGAAATTGCTTTGAAAAAGAAGGTTGGCAAGTATAACATAAAATTATTCTTGGATGACTTCTCTAAAGTAGTTTGATAATAACCTAATTCTTGTAAATTGTATTGGTGAAAAGTCATTTTCTTTATAGATGCTGATTGTGATAAGATTTCTTGTTGGGAAGTTGTATTTTGGTTGCTTTGTCTAAAGAGTATATAACAGTGCTTTTATGTTTCAGGATGCCACTGGACTCATCTTCATCATCAATGCAACTATCCTTCCCGTCACCTTTACCCTCGGTGCCAGACAATTTTACTAACTCTTCCCCTCCCCCAATGTCTTACATCACTTCCCAGGAAATGAAGTGTATTCTTCACTGGTTTGCCAGTTGGTCAGGTCCTCAGCGTGAACGTTTCCTACAGGACCTGGTAGCTAAAGCAGTACCAGGAAAATTACAGCCATTGCTGGAAGGTCTGGAGCAGCTTAGTGTGTCTGGAGGAAACCGGCCACCTTGTATCTTTGAGTGCCAGCTACGTCTTTGGGATCAGTGGTTTCGAGGTTGGGCTGAGGAGGAACGCAATGAATTTGTCAGGCAGCTGGAGATCAGTGAGCCAGACTTTGTGGCAAAGTTTTACCAAGCAGTGGCTGCTACAGCTGGTAAAGACTGATAGGCATTAAAATCAGAGAAGATAACCAGAGCTGATGGAGTCAAAGTCACAACTTGACAATGAGAACTTCAGGTGTGTCACTTAAAGGTCTGGGAATGGTATCCTGATCTGCTGACTAAAGTTGCTGAACACCACAGGCCTGGTTATTTCAGTGTTAGCTGGACTCCTAGTGTGAATGTTTTCAATCTAAGCAAATCCAGATCAGCAGTCTGCTTCAAGAGATGTCAAACCCTCAAGAATGTAATGGCTTCTTTTGTAACTATAACCAAAAGGCACCTACACATTGTTACTCAAGCCTACTACTGGCCCATGGGGTTATAAAGCAGAGCCCTCCTACTCCAGAAACAGAAGAGAAGGGCAATAAAAGGTCATGTTTTTATATTTAGCTGGATTCAGATGGCTGGTTTCACCACCCTTAGCAGATTCTGGCATAATTATGTGACATCCTGACTACTAGCTTTCTTGTGATGATACAGTAAAATTATGGAAAAATTAGAAGAGGGAGATAATTAATTACTCCTTCCTCCACACTGATGTGTGTTTGAACCCAAATAACAATGACTTTTTCAAAAGCATATGTGATATCCTTGGAGCTGCTATCAGATGTTCTTATTCTGTAAGCTTGCTCTACAGCAACATGAGAACAAATGATACTCTTTAGAGGTAGAAGGGTTTATTTTTTGTATCAAAATAAAGAATGAATCTTCAGAATGATAAGTCTACCTTTTTTTTTTCCATTGCAAACCCAGTATGAAAAGAGGTATGTCGAGAAAAGTAGAACTTAAGGGTAGATAGTAGATTGACTTCCCATCCAGTTGTCTTTTTAATTTAATTTTATTTTTATATTTTATTTATTTTTAGAGAGAGGGGAAGGGAAAGAGAGGGAGAGAAACATCAATTTGTGGCTGTCTCTCACATGCCCCCCAATCAGGGACTTGGCCTGCAACCCAGGCACGTGCTCCAACTGGGAATCAACCAGCGAGTCCCTGGTTCACAGGCCGACACTCAGTCCATGAGCCATACCAGCCAGGGCCCACTCAGTTGTCTTGAAATAATTTGTGTCCTGCCCCATCATGCTTTTAGTAATATCACACCTCCCTTATTCCTCCAGCTGAGCCCCTTGTGTTTTGGACCTCTGGTGAATGGTAAGGGGCAGATGGGCCCACCTGAAGAGTAGCTCGTTTCTGATAGGCCACGGTTCCCAGTGCACCCACCAGGATAAGCAGCGTTAGGCAGAGCCCTGTGGACAGACCTGGATGGGTCATGGAGGAATTATGGCCCGAGGTAACCAGCAACCTAGGAACATAGAAGTAACAGTTGGCTTGGAGTAATGGCTCGGCCAATGAGGTGAAGGGCTTTACCTTTATAATACACAGAGCTCATAAAACCCTGTTTCATCCAAACAGTGAGCTAAACAGGAAATCAGAGTGACTATAGAATCTGAAAGTAGGAATAAGACAAAATTCCAACTCATCAGCAACTTAGATTGTTGGAAGGAGATTTAACCTG